CTGGTTAAAGAAACTTTGGTACATCTACACAATGGAGTACTATGTAACTGTTAGAAAATATGAAGTCATGAAATTTACATACTTGTGGTAGCACTGTAGCACTGTCCTATTGTTCATCGATTTGCTCGAGCGGGTCCAGTAACGTGTCCATCATGACACTTGTTGTTACTGTGTTTGGCATATTGAAAATATATATGTCATGGGTAGCTTTCCAGGCTTTGCCATGTGGGCGAAATACTCTCGGTAGCTTGCCGGGCTCTCTGAGAGGGGCGGAGGAATTGAACCCTGCTTTGCCAGGACAGCTGGCGCAAGGCAAATGCCCTACTATCGCTCCACTGTGCTATCGCTCCAGTGATAGTACATACATGAGGTACTACGTGGAAAATATCATGCTAAGTGAAATGAGTCAGAAAGAGAGGGATAGACATAGAAAGATTGCATTCATCTGCCGAATATAAAGTAACAAAATAGGAGACTAACATCCAAGAATAGTCGAGATAAGTACCAGGAAGTTCACTCCATGCTTGAAGGCCAGCCGCACATGCTAGGGGAAAAGGCAGCTCAGATAGAGAGGGGAGCACCAAGTAAAGGGTGTTGGAAGGATCCTCTCAGGATGGGAGATGCATGCTGAAAGTAGACTATAGACTGAACATGATTGCCACTCAATACCTCTTTTGCAAATGACGGCACCCCAAAGGAGAGAGAGAACAAAAGGGAATGCCCTGCCACAGAGGCGGGTTGGGATGAGGGGATGGGGAGGTGGGAGAGATACTGGGATCAGTGGTGGTGGAGAATGGGCACTGGTGGAGGGATGGGTGCTCAATCATTGTATAACTGAAACCCAAGCAAAAAACTTGTAAGTCTACAAATGTACCTCATGGTGTTTCACTAATAAAAATTAAAAAAAAGAAAATCCATAAATTGGTCTTTTCATGGAAGCACCATTTTTGTCCTTTTTTTGATTGTTTGTTGATATGTAGAATTATTTTTGTTGTTAAAGTAAAGTAAAGTAAAGGCCCTCCCGTTGATCATCGATTTGCTCGAGCGGGCCCAGTAACGTCTCCATTGGAGACTTCGTTGTTACTGTGTTTGGCATATCGAATACGTCATGGGGAGCTTGCCAGGCTCTGCCGTGCGGGCGAGATACTCTCGGTAGCTTGCCGGGCTCTCCGAGAGGGGTGAAGGAATCGAACTCGGGTCGGCCATGTTGGCTGCGTGCAAGGCAAACGCCCTACGTTGTGCTATCGCTCCTGGTAACATGTTCCTTTTATATAATTCTAGAAATCCTCTAAAATGTGTGACTTATAAAAAATGTAGTGGGGCTGGAGTGATAGCACAGCGGGTAGGACGCTTGCCTTGCATGCAGCTGACCTGGGTTTGATTCCCAGCATCCCATGTGGTCCCCTAAGCACTGCTAAGAGTAATTCCTGAGTGCAGAGCCAGGAGTAACCCCTGAGCATCGCTGGGTATGACCCAAAAATTAAAAAAAAATAGTAAAATTATATAGTATGAAATTTATCATTTTGACCTGAAAGTATACAACTCAGTGACATTACAGAATTTGCATTATTGTAAGTCACACACACCATTTATATTCAAATTTTTCCTATAAGACTAAAATTCTGTTACCATTGAATAATAACTGCCCATATTATAGCCTTCCCCAGTCTTTAGGCTACCTTAATTCTACTTTTGTCTCTATGAGTTCGACTATTTGAAATAATGAATGGAATTATTCAAATTTGCCTTTTTGTGACTATTTGTTTCCTTTTTCCCCTCTGACATTTCTTTTTTGGGTATGGTTTGTTTTACTAAGCATAGTGTCTTCAAGGTTTATCCATATTGTGTCTTATGTCCAAACAGCTTTTCTTTTCAAGAAACTGCTTTTCTTTTATCGTGTAGCACATTTTTTTTCCCATTTAGCCACCAGTGGACTGTGGTTTTGTGACATCTTTTAGTTGTTGTATAAACATAGCTATGATTGGGGCTGGAGTGATAGCACAGTAGGTAGGGCATTTGCCTTGCATGTGGCTGACCCGGGTTCGATTCCCAGCATCCCTTATAGTCCCCTGAGCACCACCAGGAATAATTCCTGAGTGCAAAGACAGGAGTAACCCTTGAGCATTGCCTGGTATGACCCAAAAAGAAAAACAAAACAACAAATATAGCTATGATTACTTTTTCAAGTCCCATTTTAATTATTTTGGGTAGTCTATCACATTATATTTATATCTTTGTACAAAAATTTTTATTTTTGTATAGCACTGTAGCACTGTCGTCCTGTTGTTCATTGATTTGCTCCAACGGGCACTAGTAATGTCTCCATTGTGAGACTTGTTGTTACTGTTTTTGCATATTGAATACACGATGGGGAGCTTGCCAGGCTCTGCCAAGCGGGCGGGATACTCTCGGTAGCTTGCTGGCTCTCCGAGAGAGTGTCAGAGGAATCGAACCTGGGTTGGCTGAGTGCAAGGCAAACACCCTACTCTGTTATCACTGAGGTGATTTTGTGTAGTCACCTTTATTTGTCTTTTCTATTGTGTCTTTCGAGCACAATCTCCTTCCCCTGCACCTGGCTGTCCTCACTGGGGCCTCTTGGCGGGGAGAGTTTCCCTCTTTGCCCTGAGCAGAGCCCCAGCAGCTGAAGACTTCTGAGCCACAGCCATGCTCAAGACCACTCTCGACAAGCTCGGATGAGCCTAACCCATGAAGGAACCAACAGAGGAACCCAGGTGTGCGGGACCCGGGACTGAGCTCTCCAAGGCTGCTCTGATCGGGACTGGGCCTCCTCCACCTAGATCCCCCATCTTCTAGTAGCTTGGCAGTCACACTGCCCCTGGTGCTGTGTAATCCCATCAATGGCCAATATCCATAGATTATAAAACCAAGCTCCCGGAAGTGATTCTTATTGTCTAGTTTTCACTCTCAGAGAACCTGGCAGGCTACCGAAAGTATCCTGCTCTCATGGCAGAGTCTGGCAAGCTCCCCGTGGTGTATTCGATATGCCAAAACCCAGTAACAATGATGGGTCTCATTCCTCTGACCCTGAAAGAGCCTCCAATGTGGCACTTGCTAAAATCTCAGGGCTAGGACGAATGGAGACATTACTGGTGCCTGCTCGAGGAAATCGATGAACCACAGGATGACAGTGATACAGTGATACAGTGACTGTGTCCTCAAGTGTTTCATGTTTTTTTTGTGGTGCTAAGGAGATGGCTTGAGAGTCTATACCTTGCGTATATAGGACCCTGAGTTCAGTCTTCAGCACGAGGTTGCCCCTTATGGCCACCAAACCAGAACTGCTGGTTGTAGCCCTGGAGATGTTAAGTTCATCAGGTGTGGTTCTGGAGTTTTTCAGCACCCCTAGGCCCTACACTGCCTGAACATTGCTTGGCTCCCATCAGAAGAAAGCATTGATATCTCCAAGATTATAGTGATAAACACATCAATTTCTTTTCTTAACTTTCACAGTCTTATTTTTATATGTAGCTATTTACTCCATATGGTATTTGTCTTATAATATTTGGGAAATATAAAGTTTATTTTTTGCATTCCTCTCAATATGTGCATTTTCCCCAACACCATTGCTTGTGAAAAAACTCCTTTTATAATTTTTTTATTGAGATATAACAAGTATTTTTAGACATACAGAAAAGCTAAGAGAAGAAGAAAATAATGGAGTGTGATGAGAAAGGCAAGCACAGGAACAGATAACTGTCTGAGTGAAAATTCATTAGAGCTATTTGGCAGGCTTTCCAGGAGTAAATGCCCATTGCAATAATAAGTGACTTTATGAGTAGAATCAAATGCTTTGAAAGGTACACATTGGTCCCATTTTCTTATGAATAGCCTTAATCTCAGAATTGTAATTTAGATGTCAGTTTCAAACAGAATTGCCTAGGGTTGATTTCTTTTTAGATGTCTTAACACTTTCAATCTAGTTGAAAGAGTGAATAATGAAGTTTCCTTATTATTCCAACCTATAAAGATCATCTCAAGAGTTTTTCCTTTCAGGAAAAAGTAATTATTGATTTTAATAACTGTTTAGGAAAAAAATTGTTTTGTCTAAAAATAAAAACTATGAAACAATTTGTGGGAAGATGCAATGCAATGAACAGGAAAACTATGCAATTGCTTTTTAAGAAATTAGCAAATAGAGTAGATAGGAGGCTAAGGTAAAGGTATAATCAACTCAAGGGAAGATATGGCTTAAATTAGGAATCGCTATCATAAACAATTTTGACTTAATTATAACCAATTTTATTTGTTGAGACTTTTTTTATAGCTTGGTAAAATGATTGGAACAGTTAAAGTGAAAACTTTATAAAGCCTGTAAGTAAATAAAACATTATCTAATGTATTGTTAATTAAGTTTTCAATGTTCCTGATAGAACCTTATTTTTAAGAGCTTGGAATCGGGAATCAGTTCAAGTTCTGGTTTAAATATTTTCATTTTATTATCTCTGTTACTTTGAATTGGTCTTTTTCTGAACTTTTGTTTTTTTACGTTACGAAAAGGAGAACTTCTTGCTGTCATTGTGAGGAACAAATTGTATAATTTATGTAGAATGCATGATCCAATCCTGGCACAAAATAAGCGTTCAGCTGCTATTGCCAGCCAATACAGTTTCCTTTAAGTATATACTTTGGTACAGACTGACATTTTAAGGTATCTAACAGATTTAAATCTATTTTGAAAGATGCCAGACTTACAGGACGTAACCAATTTGCCACAGTCATTTTGTTTTCAGAGTGTGTGGGAATATATTACTAATGTAATTTTTAAGGTATTTTTGAAAGACACCATGTTAAAAACCACAATGACTTTGCCAAGATGTGGCTTTCCTAATAAGACATTCCATAGAACAGATACTAAATGAAATCAACATCTAAAATACTAACATTGTCATTCCCTGGAGGTTGAATGAATTCGGTGTTCTCCTAAAATGTTAAAGTAATGTAGAATCACTGATAATTTTGTACAATTGTTTTGTCATTAGGTGAAAATTTGGTTTCAGAACAGAAGGATGAAATGGCGGAATTCCAAAGAAAAGGAAGTGCTTTCCAACAGGTGTATCCAAGAAGTAGGCCTTCCAGAGGGTCCCCTCTCACAACCAGCTCTGAGCTTCTCTTCACCTTGTTCTTCACTTTGGAAAGTTTCCCAACAGCACTTGAGTCCAAGATGGAGGGAGAATTCACCAGAATCGTCAGAAACCCTCATCCAGGAGGGTTTAGCTGCAGCACCCTCAAAAGCGAGTGCCCTGCAAGCTGCCGTGTATTTGTGTTCTGAAGAAGAATCTGGAGACCAGGGTGTACATACTGGGGCCACCTGAAAAAAGCATTTCTCCATGATAATTTAAGACAACACTTAACTAATAATATTTGGACTCTTAAAGCCAGCTAGTTGTGCCTTATCAGTGCCTAAAACCTAATACCTTTGGAGTGACACATGAACTAATGCTCTCCAGTGTTCTCTTCGATGGGCCCTAGATTCAGACCTAATTTGTAAGGAGAATAGAGCTTTCCAGAAAGTATAATGGAATAGCAAAGAACAAGAGTAACAGTTGGTTCATTCCCTGCTTTGAATATGTGTATATATATGTGTCTATTTGTATGTATATAAGTATTCATTAAAAATAGAAAAGTAGAAATTAGTTTCTTTTTTAAAATTGCAGTGAGCAAATCCATTTTCTTTTTTATGTGGAAAAGTGAAGCATTGATTTATTGCCACTATTTTTGAAATCATCTAAAATTTGTCCAAATTTGTCCAAAACTGTAACAACATGTTTTAGAAAGTTCTCCATTTTTCTGGTTTCTTTCTGTATCCAACTGTAAATAAATTTTTAATAATTCAGTTCAACAATTCTAACTATTATTGGACATATAATCACTGAAGGCATATATTTAAAATCAACTTGATAAGCAAATTTGAAGAATTTATGAATGTAATTAACCAGTGTTCTTAATTTTCAAGTTCCTGGATTTATTAACCCATCAGTAAGGGAAGGTGGTAACCATATGATCACATTTTTTTTCTTTCTATATGAGCCTTAACCAAAATTTGCAGAGCTATATACCTATATTTACCTGGCAAGCAAATAGAAGATAGAGAGGTAAATAGAACCTACCAGATATCTAGGGTTTAAAATTTTTTTAAAACATTGTGTTGGACAAATAAAATATCTGGCTAAGCAGACTGTGACATCTAGCCAAGAAAAGAAGCTTAAAATGTTCCCAGCTGGATTTTAAAACTGTATTGATGGAATATATTGTGATTTGTTTATACTTCTAGTAATAGGCTCAATTTTCCATTTAGGTGGTACAACTTTGTATATGTAATATTATTTTAATGTGTTGACAAACACCACACAGATGTGTTTTGGGTTTTATTTTTTACTATCGTGAAATTATAAAATTGCATTTCTGGTAACAATTTGCTTATTAATATAGAATTTTTTATTATAGATCCAAAAAAATTATGTTTCATTCTGGATGAAATGAAGCAGAAAAAGGAAATAATGTGGTTTTGGGTTAGGTTATTATTAATATGTGGATAAAAGCCATCTTAATAGAAATTCATGATGTGGAATTTTGTTAGTGAGACTGCTACATGAAAGTAATTTCTAACTTGTTTAAACTCTTAGCTATACATTAGGATGCTTTAGTGTTTAGGGAAGGTAATATTTCAGATGCGAAAGGTTTTGAGTCATTATGAGGAAATTAGTTTGTATTAATAGAATTTGAGTTGGTAATTGATACATTGTGTCTTTAATACTAGATCTTTTGTTTAAATGTTATTGCAAAAGAAGCTTCTCTCAGAGCTTCGTTGTAGGGAATGTGGGTAGGGATCTGCTGACAACAATCTAAAACAAAAACCTGTCTTAAGGTGATCAATAATATGATTTATTTTCATTGCATATTGTTAATTTACACATTGCTTTATGTTTGTGTGCTAGAGATTGTGCTTACACCTTCAGAATAGATAATGCCAGGAATTCCCATTACAATATTCCATGTAGTAAATCCTATAATTTAGGATTCCTGTAATTAACCCTTTGAAGGATTGTCAGGGTACTCTTCCAAGTTCATGGGATTAACACATAGGACTTATAACTCTGGAGGTCAAATTTCAAATCTTGAAATTTTACCAATATCCTGGAGGTGCATATAACTGAAATATTCACTCAGTATTTGACTTCCTGTAATAAAAAGATTTGGGGTTTCTGGTGAGATTTATTAATGAAATTCAGAAGCATATTCTACTTTACAGGAATGATTTCCTCTATAGTATCCTTGACTCCCCCAATTATGAAGTTTAATAAAAGTAACAACCTTCAAATATGAAACCTATATAGTATAGTCCTACTGGAGAGATTATGTTGGAAATAGTTATGTATTTTTAAAATCATTCCCAGTTAAACATCATAAAGGCTCATTATCTTCTTAGAGTAACATGAAAATCAAATCATTGGTTATGACCATTTGATTACCCAGTATTTTTTTCCCTTTTTGGTGGGTGAAAGGGTGTAGGGGTCATAGCTGGTGGTGTTAATGGGGCTATTTCTGGGTTTGTGTTCAAACATGACCCATGGCAGTGCTCAAGGATCAAACCAGGGTCAGTTACATACAAGACAAGTGCCTTACTTCCTGTGCGGTCTCTTTGACACTTGATTAACCAGGTTTATAATGTGCTACATGATGCTTATATTATCTTATATTCCCCTGATGTTCCTTCCATTGTGAAACTCAAAGACCAGTCAAAGGTTATTGTAAGATTCACCTGATTTGAAATTTACAGATCAATCTTTTAATTGTTTCTGCTTTGGAATATGCTAAGGCTTAGGAAAAATATACTTTGTTGAATATAAAGTGGAACTGAAGAAACACACACAAACACATAGTACACATGCATTTGCTTGCTGTTGTGTTTTAACTTTGCCATTATGCGCATGAATTGTTTGGAAAGGACTGCTGAACTCATAATTTTAATTGACAGGACTCTCCTTTCACTCTTAGTTTGTACATTGCTATCCCTTCCCTATCTTTAATGTACTTAAACAGCCATTTTCCTCTATTACTACATGCAGACTTCATTTTTGTGTTGGTTACATTTTAGAATATTTATTGGTGCTCTAGGAAGCTCCAAACCTATCAAAGCCTGCAAATATTTGAAAATATGGTGAACACCATATATTAAGCTTTTGTAAAGATTCGGTAGAAGTGAATATCAGGGATTAATGGTAGTAACTGAAAACCATGATCACTGACTTTTGTTTTGGTCTCCAAAGGGATGTACAGAAAGTCCAGGGACCCCTTCTTGTGACATTTTGGTAAACCAGGCTGACAATTCAGGTCTAGGGCCCAGGTGCAGCTTGGAGCTGACAGTGATGCTTGGGGGAAGTGTGCTGTAGAGGATTGAACTGAGGTCAGCGACATAGCAAGGCCTATGCCATTTCTCTGGCCTAATCACTAGTGTTTACAAGGCAATTTTATTTCCTTTGTGTTGAGATAATTTGAGGAACCCAGTTTAGTGATTTCTTAAGTTTTAAAATTTGCAACATGAACACACCATGCATTCCAGCCTGGTCTGGGTATATGCTCAGAAAAGAGCAGATGCTTTAAACACATTTTTCACTTTCTGTATCATCCAGTCCACCCCTGAGAATTATTATATAGAAACTTTTTCTCCATTTAAAATATAAAATCTCAATTAAATATACTTGCCCAAACCACGTTTATATTTTCTGATTCCTTTTAATGCATCCTGTTTAAAGTTACATGGTCCCCAACATGCTCCATCTTGATGACTAGTGATTTAATCAAACCCTACTGCTCTTTGATATAACTCATTTCACTTTATTCAGATGCTTTATATGTACTGCTTTGGCAGCCATCAACTTATTTTTCTTTCTATAGTTCAACTTGGGTATTGTGTATGAAATACTGCCTTAGGTGCTTCTTAACAAATATAAGGGCGAATACAGTGATGGCAATTACTAGTATCTTATATAAGTGTTATTATATCTAGACTTTTTGTCAAACAACTTTTTAAATACTCCATGCAGGTGGGGAATGGGCCCATGGAATTTGGGGCAAAAGAATCATCTAATATTCTCTAAAACACCTTTGGCAATTGAAGAATTATGTTTCCTCATTAGAAAAAAAATACAGCTGCTTGACATAGTTGGCTTTCTGTGCTGTCTCACCTATATTCAAGCTACCATGGTTGCAAAAGGAATCAGAAAGAGTCCAAAGGAAAAAATAACTGTTTTCATTGTGTAGTTATCCTTTGCTTTATTGATTCTACTTTCTCACCCTTAGATCAACATACTTATCAGGGGTGAAGAGAGAGGAGAAAAAGCAAATACCCAAGATGATACCTATTCTTGACATATAGAAAAAAACTGTGCAGAACTGACTTTATAAATAATTTCTGAATACCTTGAGGATATATAATACTAACTCCATAAAGATCTTTCTTAGCTTCCAGCTATTGGATGGATTTTGTTACATTATTACTTTTGGTTATAAAAGTTATACAATGCTCATTATTAAAAATGTGCATTTGAAAATAGTTTACAGAGGAAAAGTTATGTATAAGTTTAGCATTTGAATGTAGTTAATTTAGCTCTTGTGAATTTTTCATCTCTGAAAGTATATATATGTAAATGTGTATGTGTCTAAACAAACTTAGAAATATGTATTCCCAAGTTTCCCTGATTTTTTACTTAAATTTATAGAGATTTTTCCCATGCCATTAAAAATTATTGGTAACTGTTTATGATGCCAATGTAATATTGCTTTGTAAGTCTTTCACTGCTTGAGGTGGATGGGGGGCGGGACCAGCAGATGCAAGTTATGGAAAGAGGCTACTCTACTATAAAATGTACTTTCAAAAAAAAATAACCTGATGCATATTATTTCATTTACCCAAGTGAAACGTGTGATAGAATGAAAAGGGGATACTTCTGTCATCTTGAATATCAAGGAATATAAAAAAATACCAGATAGAGATCCTCTTTGAAAAGCCACTCTGAAGTTTATGAAAATAGAGCTAATCCATTAAAAAAATGTTAGAGTGAACACACTTTGATATCAGTATGAGCAGTCACCACGCTACAGTTCTGCCTCTTTCTAATTGTGCTTTGCAGTCACAAGGACAGATTCATTATTCAGTAAAAAAATTTCCACAGCAAGGACAAAAGTCAAACTAATGGAAATCTGGCATCGTTTCATAGTTTCATACTCCAGTGCTGTTTTCACTTTTTAGAATCTCAGTTTTCACAATTATGTATTATCTTAAATTTGCTAACAATATAAACTTTGGGAAACA